AATTAAGGGATTAGCATCTCGAACCAAGTAAGGTAAACACGGGCGGTGCTATACAGGGCAACAATGGGCATGAGCCGACCCCCAAATTTTTTTAAAATTTATTATACTTATACTTATATTTATATATTCTAAACATTATATATATATATATTTTTTACTTGTACCCACCCTATAATTTTCTTATTTCAATTGTTTAGTTTTTTTTATTGTATTAATGTTTTCTCCAAATGACCTTAATTTATTATTTATGAATTTTTACAAGTGAAAATTCTTTCAATTGACCTTCATTTGTCCTTTTGTTTTTTTATGTGAAATCGACTCTATTTCTATTCGGGTATTGATTATAATCTTCATGTGTCAATCGATTTTTAATTTTTTATTATATTTTATTCTTAAATTTTAGTTTAGTAGTTTTACTATGTTAATATCTCAGTGATAATGTTTAGAATAAACAATAAATTTAATGATTTTTTAGTGAATAACTGATACTTTTTAATTTCAAAAAGACAATTAGCTCTACTTTTTTACAATTGTAATAATTAGTCATTTTTTATACATATACAATATATATTATTTTTTGGTTTTTTTTATGTTAAATGAACTTCATATATCAAATATGATATAATAAATATAAATATATTATATAGTGTGATTATTTAGAAGAAAAAAATTAGAATGTGTAATGAAAGTGTCCATTATAAATAAAATTTTTGACTCCGCCCCTGAAGTTAAAGACTACTAATCATCTAGAGGCTTGAAAATTAAGTAGAGAAATCCTAACACATGCCATCAATGATGCCGAGGCATCAGCTAATTCTAGAGCGTTATAGAGATTCCTGTTAATTGGCTGAAAGTCAGGGGTAACAAGGTGTACCACCTTACCTTGTAACCTAGGAAAGCCCAAAAGGAGGCAAAAAGATCTATAGAAGAGACCGAGGAGATTCATCAGGGGTACACAGAATTTCGCGTATAATTCTCTTTGGTCTCAAGCACTTATTGATTTAAATATTAGAGTGTCTTCGATTAGTCCACTCCGATCACCGGTAGTTTGCCCATTTTTGCAGGAGAAGTTGTGCAGTAAAAAAAATACTCCAGCCATTCAAATCATATCACAGAAGGAGGTAAATTTCATTTTTCATCTCTTACACTTAGTATAATTAAGTCTTACTTTTGATAATGTAGTCTCAAGAAATCCTAACACACCATCAATGATATAGTTTATTCTAATTTTATTCGGTTCTATGAACAAATAAATTACATTTCTACCTATAATTTTTTTTAGTAGTGTCCCAAAACAAATTAAATAAAAATATTCTAATCAATGCATAACATCCGAAACACATAATTAAAAATATTGACATAAAATTGATAAAATAAACACTCCCATCTTTTCTTATATTTAACTTTTGTATGAATATGAATTTCAACTAACTTGCTTATCAAATCTTAACTATTACGTACACTATATAGTATAAAAATCATAGTATATTATTATTTTCTTCTTTTTATCTTTTAAATACAAAGTTGTAACTTCAAATGCTTGAACTCCTACATGCTACTCGGATGCATACTTTGAATTAAAGGTATTACTTAATTGGATTCTAGTTTAAAATACAAAAAAGTTTTATTTCAATAAATAAATTGGATATAAGATTATAAGCAAAAATATATTTTATGTGTTTATTTGAAGGATAAAACCAAAATTAAATAAACTATTAATGGAGTTTAGGACTCCTTGAGAACAAATAATCAAAAGAATACTTAATGATTCTTTCTGAGGAAACATAAGACTTATCGATAATTTTTGCGAGAAACTTTTTTGTAATATTTAGAATTACTTCCTTTCTCACTTTAGTAAGGAAGCAAGCCATAAATGGTGACCATCAAATCTAAAACCCTCATGGGAACCCATTCCCTCTGCTATTTCTGTCCACCATCGACTCAATTAATTCATTAATGCACAGTAAACACCTGTAAATGTGTCAGTAATTTTTTACTTGCTCTTCACTGTGAATTGCAATAGAATATTCAGCTAGTAGGGAAACAGATGGAGGTCATAAGTTCATATATTGATTATCTTAAACAAATATATTTTTTTTATTTGACCATTTATGAAGCATCTCTGTATGCTATTCTTTATGGGACCAAATCTATAGGTCTCACTTATATAAGGAGTAATATTATTCTGATTTAAAAGTTTGATCTCATTTATCGATTTAAAGATGTGATTTTATTAAAATTATTGAATAAAGAGTAAGCTTTAATGTGTTATGGGTCCCACAACCAATTCAAATGTTATAGTGAATCAGGCCAACAAATAAAATTAAATTTTTAGGTCTAAATAGTATTACTCTTATATAATTTATGAAGAGTAGAACACTAAACCCCTAATTTTAATGCCCTCAGAAAACCTTGAAAAAAGAAGGAGAAAGAATTAGATTATTTGGAAGATATATTGTTGGAAAAAGAATAGTTTTATATAAATTATTTGAGCAAATTGAGACTTAAATAAAAGTGCGATCCATATCTTAAAATTGGTGGGACCAAATTTAAACGCATTCTCCTCTGTGAGGAGATTAATCTGATATATTTATTTGTCTAAAATCATTAATATTTGAATGAGAAATTATATATCAAAGTGACCGATTTGAAATGATAAAATAAAGCTAAGATTGGTGTTGTAAAATAAGTTTTGTCCCACATTGAAAGAAAACCAACACTTTAGTGAGTTAATAAACTCTTAGTTGACTTTATAGGGTGGGCTCCAAGGGGTACCACACTTTGTGAGCAGAGTGAGCACTTATACTATCTTGATTATCACACGCGTCCCACCCGGTCGGGCTCGAACTTGGGTTTAGTTCAAAAATATATAATTGTTTTGGACAAAATTTATTTGGAGCGGTGTAGGTCATGAGTCAAACAATCAGATCAAAATGTGGATCGAAATTAAAAATCCCAACCGAGATTTAAATCTCAATCAAAATTTAAATTTCTGTTCGTTACTTTTTGAATTTGGCATCAAAAGGGGTTTATGTTCATTCCAGAGAGTGTTCATTCCAGAAGGTGATTTTTGTCTGTTCAAATTAAAGAGTGCGTCTTTTCAATCTGAACAGTGGCAACCTATGCCTTTTCAGGCAATCTAAACAACCACCAAGGATCTACAAATAGACATTTCTATTGCCATTTCAATTCATTCTATTATGGATTCTAGTTTCAAAATATTTCTTCTCTCTATGTATATTGCTGCATTATTTTTTTGATTCGGTTCAAGTATAAACACAAGTTATGTTCGTTGGAATCTTAAATATTGAAATGCTGTTTCTTCAAGAACGAAAATCTATTTTATCTTGGGAGATAATTGTTCATCACCTTGAGCACCGAGAGGGAGCAAATATGTCTTAAAGAGATTATATTTCACAAGATTCGGATTATCTATTTTGATTTTTTATTAACTGTTCGTGCTGATCTGCTTCTCTGCGAGTCCACTGATTTTGATTTCTATACATTTTGTTTAAATAAATGCATAAGTTAGACTTTATACAATTTAATATAATATAATTATATACATATTTGATATAACAATTGCACCTCATACTTCTTCTACATTAATTATTACCACTATATGTAGAGTTTAGCAGCAAAATAAGAAAATAATTGTCTAGACTCGTACCCGCTTGAAAACACACTCCACAATGAAGGTTCAAACCTTTTCTCTGCTTGGATCAGCCCGACTTGGGTGATTTTTTTTTTGTTTTTTGGTTCAATAAATAAGGATATTCAAGTTAACTTATGCACATTTCGATTAATTTATTCTCTAGTCCCTCATGGTCTATTTCTAAGAGATTTTCAAAATTTAAAATTAAAATATCTAAATTTACGGCTCATATTTTTACTATTTAAACTATTCCTTATACTTTGACCTTGGTGATTTGAACTTCTGCTAGATGGCTCGCAATATTCTAGCCACCACATGTCCCAAGCCACACTCCTGTGGGATTGGGATGCATGGTCTCAAGTGTCATAGGACATCATGAGGGTCAATTGTAATATTATTTTGGATTTATATTATACAATATTATCTATTTTAAATTATATTCATGTAACAATAAAATTCGCTATAATAAATGTGTAAATCTTACATTTATATATCATTTTACGAAAACATTCATTGGGGCCACCACAAAAAAAAAAAAAACAGAGAGGATTGTTTCTGTCAATGTAAAGTATCCCGAAGAGGGTAGATTGACCTTGGGTTGGTAAAAAACTAGAAAGATAGATATGAATGTTTTGGGTATTTAACTGTATTTAATGAGGGTGAGGTGGTAGGAAAGAAATGGATAGAGCTAAACAGCTTAGGACTTTTATACCATGGGATTCATATGAAAAAGTGTTAACAATGTGACTGTTTTTGACAGCTAACTGACCATTAGCCTGTGATCCTAGGGTGACTTTCTTCACCAGTTCAGTCCTAACTAGCCTATAACCCAGTTTTTCTTTGTGGATTAAGTCACTCTCTCTCTCTCCCCTCTATGCTCTTCCGTCTTTATATGTGTACCAGTGTACGTCCCTTTACTTTTTCTATCTCCACCTCTACTTGTGTGCTAAGTCATTAAGGAATAATGGGTAAAAAAAGGCCAGGTTGGTGTTGAAGAGGTCTCCTTTGTCTCCAACTCTCTTCTTTCTCTACTTTCCAACACGGTAAACCCACGCCTATCCATCTCTCTCTCACTCACTCACTCACTCACTCACTCACACACACACGCGCGCGCTCTATATCTATATATATACAACACACACATGTAATGGATTAGTCTTGTATCAAAAACCCTCTCTGATCTTCTCTCCTATTCCCTACAAACATATTACACTAATCACTGCCATCTATCCACTCTGATCATTGGGTACCCTATCATCATTATACACTTGAAAAATAATCAGACCATCTTTTTGGTTTGAACCAGACACGTTTTCATCAACAGCTGAGAATGTATACACTATCAATGGCTGAGCCACCGAACTCGGAGGCTGAGTCAAGTAGCAACTCATTCTCTCCCTCTTGGTCATCATCTGGACAAAACACACCAACCAAACACCCCAAAACAGCAAACGCAGATCCCAAACGGCTCAAAAGAGGTAGAGAGAACTGCACCACCGCGACTACCGCCACCACAAACACAACCAATAATGGCAACACTAAACACCCAGTTTACAGAGGGGTTCGAATGCGAACATGGGGAAAATGGGTCTCAGAGATCCGAGAGCCCAGAAAGAAGTCTCGGATCTGGTTAGGTACATTCTCGACCCCAGAAATGGCGGCGCGTGCCCATGACGTCGCCGCCATATCCATCAAAGGCAAATCTGCGATCCTCAACTTCCCCGAACTCGCCGAGTTACTGCCTCGACCGGCCACGTGCTCGGCACGTGACGTCCAAGCCGCAGCAGCTAAAGCGGCCTCAATGGACCACCTGAACCCCCAGAACATGTCGTCATCATTGCCGTCGCTGACGTCGTCCTCATCGTCTTCGTCGCTAGTTTCAACCATAACGTCGTCGTCGTCGTCGGACCTGTCGATGGAGCGAGAGACGCCGGAGGAGCTACTGAGTGAGATAGTGGAGTTGCCGAGTCTTGGGACGAGTTATGACTCGATTGAGTCGACAAGAAACGATTTTGTCTTCGTTGACTCGGTGGGGGATGGGTGGGACTATTCAATACCATGGTTGGATAGTGGGGCTTTTTATGAACAGATGGGAATGGCAGAGAGTGTTATGTCAAGCAGTTTTGAGGGCTTGCTATGGCACCATTGATGCTTAGCTAGAATGGTGTGTGTATGCTTAATTACCTTCCTTCCTTCCTTTCTTTTTTATTTTTTATTTTTGGCCTTTTTTGCTTTTGTTTTCTTTGTTTGTGTTTTTTGGACACTTTGTTTTTAAGTTTTACTTTTTCCTTTGTGAAGGTCTAAACTAAATTATATCCCTTTCTTGCCTCTCAAACTTCAAGCAGTGATCTCTCTCTCTCTCTCCATTGATTCTTGTCATATGGTGGTGAGAGGAAAAGGGGAAAGCTAGCATTTGGCTCATACTCATTTTGAAGCAATTAAATGTCTATCTTCAATGATTTTGTGATATGGATGAAGGATGAAAGAGGAAAGAGGAAAGAGGAAAGAGGAAAGTGATCAATAACTTCTTTGTTGGTCCATATAAATTGAAAGCTAATAACCACTCTGTTTCTCTCTCATTAATTCATCTATTTTTATTGGTAAGAGTATTATTTCTCTCTCAATATCCAAGTCTTTCTTTTTGTGTAATGAAGTATTTAAGAACTTAGTTTCACTGTTTGTTTAAATGACAATAAAATACTTTAAAGCCCCAATCATATCTATTTCTCTCTCTCCTTCCTTTTTTTTTTTTCCCATTAGATGAACTACTCATTTTGTTTGACTATATATATGCTTTAATTTATATGGGGTTTCTGATAACAATTTTGGCTCCGAATTTCCAAGACGTTCGTAGACTTCTTAAATCTAATGAATGTGTACAAGCAGCACACATGCATACAAGTGTTCTATATTTATTTACTTCACGGGTATTCTTGAGTATTTATAAAGTCAAAATAAATTGAATTTAATACCGGACTTTTTAGATGTAATTTAGGTTAAATTCGAGCTAATTTATGTTTCTGAATTGTGAGTTGCCCAACACTCCTAACCTTTTCTGGTACCACCGTTTGAATTGCAACCCCAATAAAACTTGTTACAAGGGCTTTGAAGATGGAGGACCACTTTAATCAAACATGAGATTTTGTATGTCGTTTTATTTTATATATGTTCAGTCAGTGGTGATGATGGCGATGGAAAGTTACTGTTTAGCCATATAATGTAGTTGTATATCAAAATCATATAAGCATGGGATTATGCTGCTACTTAGTAAAGGGTAAAGTTAAAGGTAATGGAAAGTTACGGTGTAACTATTCAGTATAGTTTGAAAGCTTATCTGTTTGTCTCTGTTTCAACCACTCAGATGATTAGGGGGCGAAAAGAAAAGAAAAAAAAATGAGTATTCGTTTAAACATATTTTGTTTGAATTAAAAATAAATTATATAGATTGGGGGGAGAAAAAATTCTAGGATGATTAACAGCACATGATTGTGGCATGTGATATCTGCTGAGGAGACACTGTTTTCTATAGATGATATGTCACAAAAAATTCCCCATAGCCCCAATACAAACAAAAACGTGTCACTAGATTTTCCACTGACCGAGAGCTGAAAAGTCATTCATATTCTCTTCTGGGTAAAATTGGGTTTGCCCAAAAGTGAATGGTACTGACTATGAGTCCATTAGACCTCACCCATTCCTTTGCAAAGCATCAAAACAGCTTTGCTCCAGCTAATATCCATGCAGTTACATATACTGACAACCTTGGCTCACTTCTTTTGAATAATGAGACCCATCGAAGAAATCAACCAAATAATTTAATTTAATTATATTTTGTGCTGAATTGTTTATTTTTTAAAAGGTTAAAATTCTCACAGTCCACTCAGATAGCATTGTGATTCAAAACCTGACGTCTGTTGCTTTGTACCGAAAAAAAAACAGAACTTTTTTGCAATATAGGTTATCTTTTTCTACTTTTTTAAATGATTATTCGTGTATTACTCGATTTGAAGGATTTTGCATAAAAAACAAATTATACTCAATTTTATTAAACACAGGCCCAATTGCCACCTCTATATTCAGTTGGGGATGAAATATGAAATTTTAATCTGTCAAGTTGTAAATTTTATTGGAATAGTTGGTTTATCAAAGTTTGATTAATTTAGCAAGTAATTCTTATGGGTTGAAAGATTAATTCGGGCTCTCTCAAGTTATGAAAACCTTAACCCCCACTTGAATTTAATTTGAACCAATCAATTCAAGCATTGCCTAGACTCAAAATTCTAAATTCAAGTGACATAATTTGATTTGGTTCTAGGTCACAACTCGGACTAAAATTCTGGTATAATTATAGAATTTCGGTACATTTTGTTAGGGTCTAGAAATTAGGTCTAAAAAATACGATTTTTCAATTATATATCTGAATTAAACCATAATTTATTGAAGTTTTCAACTCATTTACCGAATAACTTTATTCGGAGTTATGCACCCAAGTTGTAGCTCTACTACTAATTGGCTAGTTAGTATGGTGGTACCATGTCAATAGATAAGAGAAAACAATTTGTAAAAAAAAAAAAGACCATAAAGAAACCAAATTCCAATAAAACTTGGTGGAATTGTATTAATTTTTTTAAAGGATTAATATTATTTTTTCATAGAAGTCTTCTTGTCTGTTAGAGAGGCTCATTCTTTTAACAGGTGCATCACAACCATGGGCGGAGAACATCTATCCTAACTACCCTAAATGGATGCTAATTTTCTATTAGTAGACCAAAAATCAACATTAATCAATGCACCTTACAGTTCTAAACTTGTTTTCAGTGATTCTATCGGCACACACACACACAAACATATGAAAAATGCTTTAAAAAGGTTATATTGGAGAAGATAATAAGGGATTTGACCAATAGAGATAGGCCATGCAATTACAAATGATTAGGGTTTGTAGGGTTGTTAGGGTTCCTCTAGTCGTTGCAGGGTCTTTGATAGGCTGAAAATGGAGTTTTTTAAGTAGAATTATAGCCCTTTTTAAAGCTGGTCCTCTATACCTAACCCGACCATAATATAAATTAGGGACTGATTGCAATTTTTATTATGTTTTGTACAATTTGAACATGCTTTCGATTTGTTGTATATAGAATGATTTTATGATCAATAGTCTGGATCCGAATATATTATCAAATCCGAACTAGTTTTTATATATGTATGATGAAGCAAATTTAAATTTTAGATGTTATTAGTTACAATTCATCTTTAATCAAATAATTCATGCTGGATAGAAGTTTTACTTTTTAGTAGATTAATTCTAATATGGGCTAAAAAAACTAAAATTTATCGGATATTCATGTCAAAAATAAATTCATATCGGTGGAAATCTGATTTAAATTTAATCTGTTGTCATACCTATTTGCGAGGTGGCACAATACAAACCAGAGGAGCCCAATGGTTGGAAATAGGAAGAAATTGATATGAAGAATGTATGGCTTACCTACCATACTCTTGGTTTATTTTAGTGAAAACATAGATTTTTCTTTAAATTTAAAATGGAGAATGCATAGCTTACCTAACAATATTAATAGCTTGTTTAAAACATATATATTTTATAATATCTTGATCGTTTAAATAATTCAAGAATGAAAATAAAATTATTTGACTAATATGAATACCTAGCTAGTTGAGTTTTAAAAACCACAAAGTCATATGGCCCTGAAGTGCTGCTCCACGAGGGGGCCCGAGCAATGACAAATTGGTTTTCATTGTCAGCTCTAATTTGTCATTCATTAGGAAAATGGACAATTTGATCAAGAAAGTTATTAAGTCAATGGTTTCTTATTATTTTAGCGACTAATTTTTGTGTTGCCCTCCTTGAGGTTAGTTTTTTTTTTGTTGGTAACATCCTTGTGGTGAGTTGACAGATCTTGGTCTGACCCTAATGGTAGCTCGAATGGTAAAATAAATGACCTGTAAATTTATATATTTTGAGTTCGAATACTAACAATATCTTTGAATTAGGCCGTGAGAAATTTATCCTCATAATTACTTTAATCTTAACGTGAATGGTTTGTCTTTGATCAAATATTGAAGAGAATTAATCGAAATATATATAAGTTGACCCGAACAACCTTACTGTTGAACCAAAAAAGAAAAAAAAAGAAAAGAAAAGATAGAGCATGGTCTACCTCTTATGTGAGCGATAAAAGTTTTTTGCAGTTTATATTCTAAAAAATATCTCAATTTTTATTTTGCACCTAAAAGATTATTTTTCTCATATTGTACCCTACATATCATAAATTGGTTCTAAAGTGGCCCTCGGGTTAACATCCGTTTTAGATTTCATTAAAAATTGATACACATGTCACCCAAAAATATGAATGGTGAGTTTATATTTTTGTCAAAGAATAACACACGTGAGTGATAAGTGCATCAATTTTTAACAAATTTTGAAATAGATGTTAATTCGAGGGTCACATTGGAACTAAGTTATGACATTCAAGTGTAATACGGGAAAAATAATTTTTCAATGTGTAAAAATGCAAAGTACAAAAAGCTCGAGAGATAAAAACAAAGTTTTAATCAATGAAAAGGCACAAATTTATGAAATTAACTTTACGATTGAACCACAACGCATATTTTTAACTCCTATGAAACTAATACTCCGTTTGGTACGATGAAAAAAATAAAAGATTAAAAAGTTGAAAGGACGAAAAGTTGAGGAATAAATAAAATATCATGTTTGGTAAAAAAGAAAAATAGGAAGGATAGAAAAGTAAATTAATGAGTTTTCCTTTTAACTCACAAAAATCAAACCCTATAAAATTAAAATGAAAGTAGATGAAAAGTTAATTATTTGTATTAAAATATATTTTATTTGTCTATATATCCTTTAATATATACATATATTGTATAAACATTAATTTCATATATAAAATATGTATTTATATTTTTTTAAAAAAAATAAAAAAAATATTTTTTCCCATCTTACCAAGCACAAAAAAAAAAATAATCATTTTTACTTTTCGTTCATCATTTTCCTTGGAGAATAAAAAATATATGCTTCATATTTTTCATTCTTTCTACTTTCTACCCTCTTTACTAAATGTTACTCTATCCGTTCCTAAATATATGTCGTTTTATACAATTTTTTTTGTTTCATAATATCTATAGTTTAATGAAACCAAAACATAATTAATATTTTTTCTTCCAAATTTACTCTTAACTTTTCAAT